TTGATGATTTTCGCCCAGCTCTATATCCTTCCAATGCCACCTTTTTCGGCTAACTTAATTCTGCAATTATTTGAATTGCGCACGGCCTTGTTTTAGGACGGGTCACTCTTTCTTGGCGGCTCTTGTTTAAGCGAGTCGACGTCAGTGACGCCCTTTTGATTTTTCGCAAAACGTGCTGAATTTTCTTAAAAGTTTCCTGAAGGGGTGAATCCTTCAAATTTCTCTCGGTAGTTCGGAGTGCCATTTATGGATAATTAAATAGTTATTCGTCCACTCGGGTATTTTTTGTGATTTTATTGGAACATGCCAGGTATGTCACAAATCCTATTATATCTCGAACACTCCTTAAGTTTATAATTATTTCTCTAGCCTATCTTGATCTGCAACCACCTCTGGTGATGCCAGTGCCTGTATCGCGTACCAAATCATGGTAAAGGAACCCCTTGTTCAGGGTGAGTTATGTACTTTGCGTCTTATTATAAGCCTTAAAGACAAGCTTTTTGTCTATTTTTCACCTTTCTTTTAATAAACAAGAGACCACCAGTAATTTAGTTTTCTGATAGGGTCCTACTCCTACCCCTTCATCCAGCCTAGTTTTGGGCCAGTTCAATAAGGACGGCATGCTTCCCGAAGGTTCCTGTGTGAGGTCATTTTCATGGTCTTTGATGGATAGTGCCTATCGTCCCTGATGACACCTAGAATTGCAAGTAGTGACCACAGGTTTCTTTTTTGCCTTTTATTTTATATTTTTTTATTGAGCATTACATAAACGGATTGACTCATTTCTATGTTCAGTTCGCTGTCCGGTTGAGCATATGAGTTTTAAGGGCAGATAGACCAGTAAAAAGGGTCACAATTCAAATAAAATGATCGATCATTGTTATTACTTTACAGAATAATATTTAGTTCAGGGTGATACTGGGATGAAATCTAATTATTCTAACATTTATGATTCTTATTAAATATTTACGATTCTCATTAAATTGACCTACTAGATTTTGTAATTTTTCATTAAACTTTTATTAAACATAATTAAGTGGAGAGTGTTGCTGTATTATTTCTTTTTATACTTAATTACTTAATATTTCAGATTTAATTTTGAGGTCTATTTCGAAGTTTGAGACCTTATAAATAAAAACTTCGTGGCGCCCTCAGTAAACACCCCTTTAACACGACCATAAATGCTTGCCGATGAACAGCTGCCGTAAGCAATAACATATTTTTAATCCAGAGTAATTAAAAACGTTACAACTGGTTTTATTAAACACCAACTCAAGGTCGCACATTTTCAAGGCCAGTGAGGCGGCCAAAGTCAAGGTCGAAAGGTGGAGGGTGTCAAGGACAGGGGGCGAAGCGAAAGTCAAATGGTGGGTGAAGTCGGATCCGTCAAGGTCGAACGGTAGGGGTTGAACGTGGAGCGGGTAATGTTCCTTACAGCAGCTGGTAGTGGTCGTCACCAATATTCAATATTTCTTTCCGGTATTGTACTTCCTTAATTGTTTTTAATGTTCACCATTTCACTTTTGCTACTTCCAAGACATCTGCACAAAACAATCATGTATTTGTTAGCATAATTTGGTTGATTTATTTTATGTTGTAAACTTTGGTATCTTGTCTTAGGGATTTTGACACTATTCTTCTTTCTGCTGCTCGCACCATGCTGTGAATATTTGTTTTCTGTCGGTTAGGTATTATAAAATCCACTTCATGCTTTTCAAGTGAATCTTCTAATTCGACCTTTTATTTAATTACTTTGCAGCAGAAAACCAACCATAGTTTTCCCCTAATCATTTCGGCTCTCAAGTCCAAAACTCCCAATTAAAAACTCAGCAGCATTATTTTTCCGCTCTATTTTAGCCTTGAGTTCACCGCACAATACAATAAATTTACTTTTACAATGAGTCCTCTTGCAGCGCTGGTGTTATGTCATCAAAGATTGTAGCGGCATTTTGATTTTCTGGTAGTTCGGGCGCTTTCCTAAGATAAGAGTGGTTAAGTAATAGCACACGTAATTCAGATAGCTTTTAACAGTGGCGACTGAAAACCATCTACATATATAATTTGCTAATAAAGTTTATATGTCTATCCACGCCATTCTGACGTTATTACTTGAGGTAGAATTCTAAAATTTGGAATAGTTGTTCTTTGAGATACTGGCTAGAACCTAACGGAGCCAGATTTTTTCAATTTCGATCTAGAAAAAAAAAATTAAAGCAAAAAACGGGTTTGAACGCGTTTTAACTACAATCCCGCGTCGAACCATTTACGTTCGTCGCGTCTTCGCACAGAGGCAGTGTTGCCAACTATTTTTAGTTAAAATACCCGAGAAATTGAAATTGACCACCAAAAAAAAGGTCAATTTTTCTTCCAGTTGCCTGGTGTGGCGGAAGAGAAGAAATATTTTCTTTTTTGTAATTTTACATTGCCTGGCAGAGGCAGGCCATATCTACTAGTACTTCAATAAATATATTGCAAAATGTGAAACTAATCTTGTTGCTAAATTATATCATTATGTTTGTGAAGCAGATTTTGAATTACTAGTCTTATTTGTTCTTAAAAATTTTTGCTTGCTCATTTTTATATTACGAGGATGAGTTTGTTTCGATTTGGTCTAGCACTCATGCGCGATACTCTAGGTCGATAGTCCAGGACGCACCTAGACTCTTGAAAATTGAAGATAGGAAAGCGAAATTAATTTTTTACCGTTAATATTTAAATTTGGCCAAATGCTGATTTTGACTTTTTTCCAACACCGAAACAGTTGAACTTAGTATATCACATGAAATCTGCTCAGTATTTTTCATAGAATCCGAATATTCAATAATATACAGGGTATTCCATTTGAAATGAGAAAGTTGGACCACAACCAGCTTTCTTGGAACATCCTGTATATGCGAAAGTGAGTTTGAAAAAATAAATAATTTCAACCATTTATATGGGACACTTCTTTCTAAAATGTCAAAAATAAGAAAGGTAGTGGGGGTGATATTTATAACCAATAACCTTGTTCGTTGAAGTACACAGTGAGGACATAAAGTCCGTCGCCCCCCTCCAACTTTTGAACCGCTCGGTATATTGCAACAAAATTTGGAATTATGATATGTGAGCCAATTCTCCATTTTTTGAAAAACAAGACATCTTCAGCTGTCAAAATGACTGCTGGGAGGAGTTCTGGAACGCTTTTTTAAATAGAAGGCGGTGTCACTTAACCCGGGATCGATCGCTACCCTTCCTATAACGCGATCGGTCGCGTGTTAGATTTTATGTTACACTAAAAAAAAATCCGTAATCAAAACTTATACTTAAATTTGATAAATGCAATTAAGTCTTGGTATTTTAATCGTAGTCGCGGTGGTCGCGTAGTTAGATTTTAACTAACATCTAAGTCATCTTCCGGATATGGCTGACCCTTTTGAGCCAGCTAAATGCCGATTTGCCATGAGCTTACATAGGACCTCTTCCAGGCATTTCGGGAGGGGGAATGATTTAACGCCACTATTCAAAGTTTTATGTGCATAAAACTAAAAATGTTAGATTTTTTCTAACAACGCGACCGATCCCGGGTTAAGGCCTACTTGGGTTTGGAAAAAGGACGGTTCTAGAACGGACAAACGGACAGTTTATCAATCAACAAAATGACAACAACTCGGCTATCACAGATTTCGATAATAAACTCTGCGATTGTTTTGAACCGTTCTAGAACCGTCCTTTTTCCAAACCCGAATAGGCCCATTATGTCCTATAGGAGTAGTATTGCATTGAGAAGTATTTCTTGAATTTGTAGAAGTTTATAGAGGATTATTGGAAAAACATAAATATGTATGATGACGTAAACGACATTTGTGACAAGTCGATTCAGATTGACACACAAATGTTCGATGGCTCCCACTTAGACAATTGATACAGAGGTTTTTAGATTTAGCAAATTGATAACGATCTTGCGGAGTTTTATTTAAGAAGTCGGGATATTTGAAAATATTATGAGTATTTTGCAAACGGAGCAACCAATATCTTTAGTGTAGGTTTGAATCATAAACGCATTGCTGGATAGTGCCGAACTCTGATTTTTAAGAAAAACCTATTTTTTTAAATGCATTTGAGCAGGTGGGTAGGATCAAGGCCCATGCAATTTTTGGCTCAAAAAATCAGTCAAAGTTTTGTAAGTAGGAAGCGTATTTGAATCATCATACTGAAGCTCGAATCTCGTAATAATAGAAAGTGGTAAACGACTTAAGGTCATTTGAACCAGGATAAAATCCCAATATTCGGAAGGCAAACCCAATTTTTGTAGAGCAGCAAGATTCTCGGTAAACAAATCCAATAAATTTCTGACTTCAGTGGGATTATCTCCCTGTATGTACTTTAGGAGCATTCTCCAATTATTCAATAAATTAGAAGCGCGTATTTTTGAATCTTTGGCACAAGGTCGTATAAGCAATATTGTAATTGTCCTCAGTTAAAGATAAATGCTGGATGACCTGCAAAACATGCCATTTTTGAAGAGAAAATTTCAAAACTTTTGGAAGATTTGCATCATTGCGAACAAGCGCATCAAAAATATCAATAAAAAATTGAAAGGCAGCAATATCTCCGTTGAATGTAGGTATATTTACATCTAATCTTGGGTGATAATTAGAGGGACATTTTGATTGAGCAGTCGATGCAACTTGAGCAGTTGAGAAAGTTGTTCAGCTCAAAAATCCCTGTTCCATTTTTTTTTTTTTTTTTAAATCTGGCAGTTTATTTTCGGACAGCTCCTGTTCATCGTATGGACGACAGAAACCAGGTCGGTGCCACGTGCCACATACATTAACATTTTGATTTTGTATGGCTGCGTCTTTATCATAAAATGTTTTTATTTGTGATTTGGATTACGCAAATTACTTAGGCTCTCGAACCTTGTCTTGCTTTGTTTTTGGTTCATTAGAAATCCTTCATTCGAAAACATTATCTATATTATTATTCAATGACAAAAAATGGGTGAAAATAGTACTGTAGACTTACCCTGATTTTGTATAGCATTTCGCTGGTGACAACCCGGAATTCATTCCTACGGAATTGATATTTGAAGCAGCGACAGCACCTGCTGCGTCTTGAAGTCCTCGGGACAGCTTCAACATTTCAGCACCAAATTGACCCAGCGCTGACATAGTGCATGGAACGGGATCCGATTCTTGAATCCAGAGCTCATGAGTATCCAACGTAGTCAATTCTGTGTCCGTTGAACCAGCCGAATGGCCGTGTTGCGGTGTCGACATAGTTGATAATTTTCCGCCACGTGATGTCGCTTTTAGAAGCCTTCGCCATGTACATCTTCGCTCTATAAATAGAATATATATTTATTTTTTAACTGATAATTACTTAGAAAGACTTAAATTAAAGTTTTACATCGAAACTAACTACGTCCCTCATGTTTATGAAAAGGAAATACAATATTTATTATATGGGCGAATATTGCACTTTAGGAGCCTATGCTAAAATAAACAATAGAAGTTTTGGTCAAATTGATGTAAGGTGTCAATTTTTTATAGTAGACGTGATTTTGTTCAGCTCTTGAAACTAAATAATAACTCGTTTTCACCTTGGTCATCTAAAAACCTCGCACAACAAAATTGACTTACAAATTGGGTAATGTAATTCGATCGAGATCGACTTAAACTGAAATTGAATTCCAATGAAAATAAGCCTAGATTGGGTTAAACTGAAATTGACTTTCAATGAAAATTCTATTAGAAGTTTTTTAGTTTTAATATACAGGGTGGGCCAATGAAAACGACACAAGGCCGATATCTCGTATTCATCGGTCATTGAAAAAAATCGCTCGGACCCCTTGCTGGGGTAAGCTCAAACCCTTAAATCTCAAATGGCATTAGAGGTCAAGTGATACCTGATTTTAAAGGTCATCGAATTCTCTTTTCAACGGTGTCTAAGTTTTTTGAATTTACTGAGGTTTTTTTTCAAAAGATATCTAAAATTCGAATGTGTTTGGTTGAGTTTTATTGAGTGATAAAAAAAACCTGGACTTAAACCTTGTGATTTCAAGTTGGATAGGACACGACTTAAAAAAAAAACACATAAAATCATTTCTCAAATAAATATTGTTATAACTACAAAATTGAAAGTGCGAAAGCAGTACTAGTACCGTCTATTTTTAAATGCGTTTCCCCGAAAACCACTGCAACAAACTCAAAAAATAGGTACCGTTGAAAAAAGAATTCGATGACCTTTGAAATGAGGTATCACTTGACCCCTAATGCCATTTTTGCCAGATTTTAGGGTTGGAGCTTACCCCCGTGAGAGGGTTGAAGTGGCAACATGGAAATATGTGCATAGGATTTCCCCCTCCGAATAAAAATCGACGGGTCTGAGAGATTTTTTTCAATGAATGGTTAATACGAGATATTGGCCTTGTTTCGTTTTCATTGGCGCACCCGGTATACCGGGTGACAATGGCTATGTTCACCAGAACCAAAACGGATTGTAAACAGTTTACAAATACCAACAGAACATGTTGAGTAAACTCTTAGTTCTGCTGAACGATTCAACTTTTCAATGATAGAACGTCACCTTCTGAATGACAGGTCACCACACAAAACACATTGTTGAAAATTATAAACACTCTGAAAATATGCTTGCAACAATGGCGACCGTTTGCAAAACATGTTTGGTTTTAGCACAAATTCAACGTAGCGTTCAGCAGAACAATCGCAAACCGTTTACCAACGTTTGTACCTGGTGAACGCGGCCAATGAAAGTACTACCCATGGCGGCATTTTTTAACGGCTCGAGATAGAATATGCAACTCGGTTTGTTGATAGGGTTGAAAAATGTGAACAATTTTAATATAAAAACAATTAAATGACTTTATTTGTCACTCATTTGTAAAACGTCACTTATCAAGTCAAAACATAACCAGCGAAAATTGATTTTTACAAGCTACTGGCTCTACTGACTTGTAAAATTGACAGCTAAACTGTAAAAACTTTTTACAAGTCAGTAGAATTATTTATTTTTGAAAAATCGGTTTTATCACAAGAATAATTGCTTGTAGGTACCTTCTGGGAGACTTTTCTGGTGATAAACTGTTGGCTACGACTGAGGCTTCATTAATAATATCTTGTAATAAATTCATTTCTGGAAAAAAATTGCAAAATGGAAATCTGTCAAAAAACCTATTAATAACTAGAAACAACGTCTTAACAACGTATCATTCTCATAGTTATACCAACTACCAAAACTTCTGTGAGAAAAAATCAAGGAAAAACATATAAATTTCAAATTTTTGTTATGTATTGATTTTTTATTTGTCCCTATATCTTTTACAAATGAGTAACAAATAAATTATTGTACATTATACGCCAGGTAGCAGTTTTTACTGGCTCTTGAAGGTGACAAGCTCGCCTGGCGGCTCGCTAGTCATTTCCTTCAATCGCCAGTAAAAACTGTTTTACCTGGCTAATAATGTTAAATACTATTACCGGTTTTACCGGAAATGGCAGATTTTACGTAAAATACAGACATAAATAGGAATTACGACATATTTTTGAGCCACTCTATTTCAAAAACTATCAATTTTTGACATAGGGTATGTTGAACAAAAGTTATTTAGAATTGTTCAGAGAGTCCAAAAAAATTAAAATATACAGGGTGTCTCATTTAAAATAACAAAGTCATTGCCATTTCCGGTGAAACCGGAAAAGACATCCAATTGTTTTTATATTAAAATTGTTCAAAATTTTCAACCTTATCGACAAACCGAGTTGTATATTTCTATCTCGAGCCGTTAAGAAATGCCGCCGTGGGTAGTAGTTTCATTGTCACCCGGTATATCCAAAGCAAACCAAATCAGCGAATCCTCTTCAAACCTGGATTTGGTATGCTTTCGCATAGGTTGCAACCGGTCGTTATTGTGCGCCGCAAAGATCAACGCCATGTGAGTGTAACCAGAGCTATAATACATGCTGATGCCTGCATGCAGAGTGATTGCAGAATGGTTCGACCTGTAATGACTATACAAAGACTACCAAAACGATGGAAACAGAGGAAAAGACCACAGCGCAGGTTAAATGTTGAGCGAATGAAAATTGCCTGCTGTATATTTCAACGATATCGAAGGGCACTGCTCAATGCTGACAGCCTGCCAACATTCAACGGGCTTCATTACAGGGAGACAACAGGATTGGCTTGATGAGAATAAGGAAGAAATTTAAAAGGTTATCCATCAGAAAATTAAACCCTACAATATCTGGCAAAACGACCCAAATTTAGCTGGCAAGACACAAACCTAACAGTGGTGAACCACGAAGTCGATTGAATTGGAACATTCAGCAGCCAGTAGCAACACCAGCGCCTTACAGCTACTCAAAGCCGCCGCTTCTATCAACTCGCAATGGAAGGACCATGTTCAGGAACTTTTGAAAAGGGATTCCTTCGCAGATGACGAAGTTTCAAACAAGGTCCCTCAAAGACTCATCTTAGTGACGTTCCTCCCCATCAAGAGGTTGGAAAAGGTCGACCAGCTAAAAAATAATGAAGCTGCTGTGTTGAAGGGAGTCCCTGGTGAGCTTTCTAAGGTGAGGGGCTGGTCGAACACACACAGATTCATTGCTAATATGTATATGGTATACCGAGACAATTCCCATTAATTTGCGAGACTCTCTATCGCCACTACATTCAAGAAGCAGACATATTATTCAGTGCAAGAGAAATGCAAGGAAAGTCGAAAGCGCAAAAGAAACCTTTGTATATTGGATTTACCGGTTTTGTCAATGCGTTTGACTCTTTTAATCGATTCGCTTTTTGAAATATACTGGCGTTGGACGGCTGTCCGCCTAAATTCATCAACATCTACGTTTACTGCATGAGAACATTAATACCACTGTCCTTACCAACCATGGACCCGGAAGAGAGTTTAAAATCACAACGGGAGTGAAGCAAGGATGTGTTATTGCGCCAAGCTTATTCTCTATATTCTTGGGGCGGTACTTCACCTGTCCAAGAAAATCTGCTGCTAGGTATTGAAATCTCATACAGAACTGATGGAACCAGAAACAAGGTATCTACAGCTCTGTTCCAACCGACATGAGAACCGGTCCAGAACCAGTAAATTCCAGTTGCCCATATATTTTTAAATAAGTTGAACGGTCATCCTACTTGATAAATAAATTGATCGACTGGAAATTACCGTTCTAGAACGGTTCTCATGTCGGTTGGAACAGAGCCAGCCTACAACAACTGTTCTGGCTAACAACGCTGAAGACCTACAAATTACTCTAAATGCATTCAAGCGAGCATACAAAATTATCGCTCTGGAACTAAGCACGGCCTGCTTCAAATACTAATAAATCACCTCCAGCTTTAACTGTCAATAAAAAACCTCAAGAAAATATGGCATACTTCCATACCTCGTTAGTTATCTCTCGTGAATTGCAAATATTGACGAGGAAATTCGACGCTAGCGCTGCTTTTGAACGTCTTTTCAAAAGGGTGTTTGACAGCCACAACATTTGTGCCCAAACTAAGCTCGCGGTCTGCAATGCCATCGTCATTTATTTTATTTTTTTTTTTACGGATATGCGCACTCGCAAGGAAATGTCCTATCACGCCCGAGAAGCGGCGAGTGCGCGGAAATGTCGGTGTATGTTGGTCTTGAAACGGTTCGGGTTGTAACATACCAACACTTCTCTATGGGTGTGAAACCTGAACCATTTACAGATGGCACCTGAGATGTTTAGAAAAGTATCACCAGCTCGGCTTGGGAAGAATACTCGAAATAAACTAGCAGGATCTTCGGACGGTCAGTATCTTTGAAGAAACTAATTTCACCAGCATTGAGGGCATTGCCTCGCCCTCATTCGACATCAGCTCCGTTGAACTGGGTCATGTCGTCCGCATGCCAGAGTCACGTCGTCCTGAGTATGCTCAACTTAATAATGGCTAACACAGACTTGTAGTATTTTGAACGGCAAAGGCGAAGGGGTTGCAGAAGACAAGCGAAATCGCAGGAAAGAACGAGAACGTCTGATAGCAGCGGGTTTGCCCAGGATATACTTATCTAGCCATCAAACAACCCACATCTGTGGGTGTTATTATCAAATGATGCTGTCAAGATTATCATATTAAACATTAAAGGGTGAATTCCTATGATGAAAAGGTGAGCCACTACGAAAAAGTTTTGTTTTTAAGACTTTCTAAAGGTGACAAAACATACAGGGTGTTTCATTTAAGATAAGGTAGTAATTTTATTTCGAAAAATCGGATGAAATTAATACGCACGTAAGGAAAATTGCTTCCTATAAAGGTATTTTCTGGCATTAATCA